CCCCAAAACCCCAAAACCCCAAAACCCCATCAACAAAAAGTTCTTTATTTCTTATCAAAATTTATTAATTCATAATTTAATGTTCATAATTTTAACCAAAAGCTCTTTTGAGTCCACTATTTTATTAACAATTTTATTTTCACAATCTAGATCTACTCTTATCTCAACAAAATCATTTAGTTGAGTTTATATCTAATCTCCTGTTTAAAAATCATATAAGTATACTTCTACTTATGAAATATTGGTTATTCGTTATAATAAAAGCTTTGTCATTTAGCTTTTATATTATTTAATTTAGTGATCTTCTACATCTTCAGATTCTTATAATTTTTTCATATAATTCCTTATTCTGTTCAAAAGCATTTTTAACAGACCATAAATAACAGACCTTTAATCAGAGGACTATTTGTAGTTAGGATCTATAAGAAATTATAAACTAGCTATCCAATAAAGATATTTTTCATTTCTATAAATTCCTAATTCAAAAGCCTTTCTTTAAATAGTTTCAGGATCTGACTCTATACTTGAAATTTAGAATTAGCTTGACTATGGACTTAAAAATGAATATCTCGATAGTATGAAATTTAAAAAATTTAAGTTGTCTAAAATATTAAATTTTGTCAATCTTACTTTTAAAGTCTTATGTTTCGAGCTAGAATTTGCTGCATTGTTATTTAATCATCCAGGCTTACTAAAGATTTTTCTATGAGAAAACTCTCTTATAAGAAGTATTGGCTCTTGTATTTAGTCCTTCTTGATTGTGAGCATGTATATTCTTTCTCGAAGTTTATCCTAAAGAAAGGTAGGCATCATGATTAATTTTAAAATTCTCTATAGTCTAGCAAAATTTCAAAGGAGCGAATGCTCTATCAGCATTGATAGTTGTTTGGTTGCCTTTTTCAAAATGGCTTAAAGTTAATTAGGGCACAACAATAGTTTAAGAATTGGTAGTTTCAAATTCTTTATTCTTGGAATCACTCAATATTTTTTCTAATTAATCATTTCTAATTTTTTTAATCTTATCATAGAATTTGATACCGAGCTTTTGCTTGTACTATAGCTTTTTTTCTTCAACATCCCCTAAAAATACTCTATGTGTAAGGCAAATTTATCTTGAGCTCGTTCTATGATTTCTACTTTTTTATTGTTTCAATGGAATTTCTTCTTTTTATTCTGTAAGTTATTTCAAATTCAAATTTTTTTCATCCTAAGTTTAAAAAATGACTGATGGCATTCTTATTGGTAGTGTATCTTACTTATCTAGCAAGTCATCATTGTTAGACTAGAAGAAGTATTTACTTTACAATCCAGCTCCTAAGTTTTATTAACCTTTCTCATCTAGTGTTTAGCCTTAATCATTAAAATTATCAATCTAAATGGATGTTGGGAATCTAGATATGTGAATCTAAACAGACTTTCTTGTATTTTCTCCGCTATTACTATTTTGATTTTCGAATTAGTTTTACTTCTTCAAATCATCTAAGGTTACTTTCCTCCCATATTACTTTGATGGACTAATTGTCTTAAAATATTCTGTTAACTGCCATTCATCATCTTTTTCAACATCAGTTCTAGTAAGAGACTTCATATTTAGAATACCATCAAGATCAGGTGGTGCAATTGTTTTAAATAAATGACTAAATCTTCTAGAATTTTAGGAGTCTGCATCTCCATTTTTAAGCATAGCACTAGAATCTCTTCTTTAGTGATATGAACCGAAAGAATCTAATGGCTTTAAATATGACCTGCTTGCAAAAGGAGTCAATTCATTATTTTCTTATCTAGGCATATTCATAGTAAGAATAATATTCTTCAAGTTTGGCAGATCTGTATAATTTTTATAGGTATTCATATTTTCTTCCTCTACCTACTTTTGCTTCTTAGTTAAAGATTCTTGAAGTTATTAATCATGATCTAAAAGGTCTTATTTTTTCTAACCCCTTAGCACTTTAATAAAATCTCTAGCCAATTATGTTTGTCTGAATAGTTTTACAAATTTTTCAAGTTAATTAGGATCCATATCCTTATTATTTTAGATAAACTGCTCTATTTTCTTCTCCTTATTTTATTCGTTTCTAGAACTCATTATATCATTTATTTCGCTCTGATTTAAAGTTGCATAATGATGCAACTCAGGATCGCTCTTAAGTTTATCAATCTGATGAGTCGAATCAAAATCCATATTGCTTTTAAATAATTATCTGATTGATTTTCTTCCTCTAAATAATCCTTTTTTGGATTTAACTCCATTCTTTTCCTCTGTATTCTGCTTATTACTTTTCTTTGACATGGACTCTTCTTGTTTATTTTATGAATCTTATTTTCTAATATCCAATATTGTCCTTACCATAAGGTCTTCCTTTCTATGTTTTGAGGTATTAGATTATCTTGAAATATTAAGGTCTATATTCTCTGGCAATTCAATATTTGATAGCAGGTTAGCGTTATCCAACAATTTGAATGGATTAAAGAAAAGAATATCAAAAAGCTCATTTTTTGGTATTTTTTTATGAATTGTATTCTCAAGAATCTCCTTTAGGCGCGATCGATAGTGATTATTATTTTCTTCATCCATATCAAGCTCTAAATTCTACTATTATTGTTCAAACTAGTCATCAAAGTACTAAGGATTTTCTTTAAACATTAAATTTCTGAACAGTTAGTCACTCTAGGTAAGAAAAATAAGTTAATAAACAAAATGCTTACAGCCATCTATCGTTCAGTTTTGCAAGTTTAAAAGAGTTATTAGCCAGCTAGACCCTTAAATAATTAGGAGATATCCTGAGGCTAATTGATATGATTGAGTTCTATTTCATCTTTGTATTTCTCATTCAAGGATCTCACCACATTTAACTTTTCTTTAACCTATCTCAAAAGAGGATACACCTTATGAGTCTTTTTGGTATCCTTGTGGATCCAATACTTTTTAGCTCAGTAATCTAAGCCTAATTATCTAACCTCACGATATTCCCACTTTAATCCGCTTTACTTATTCTCATTTAAGACTTCTTCAATCACTTTAAGTAGATGGATTTCTTTTATTAAATCAATTTCACACAATGAAGCTACCTCCATTATTTCAATATCATAAGTAATATGCTTAGATCTCTAAGTTAACCCCTTTTCCATATAATTCATTACTTTGTCCTCCAAGTCATCTTTCAAAAACCTATTTAAATTTATAAATACCAAATCAAGTTACTGTTTGATGTTGATCCTTTTCGTTTTTGGCATAAATCTTTCCTTATTCTATTCTTACTCTACTTGTTCCATAGTTTCTCTCTTAGTCATCATTCTACTATTCATGTTATGTTTCCTCATTAATTAATCATAAAGCTATAAAGCTGGGAGATCTTTGATTTTATCTGGGTGGTTTTTATAAAAATTTCTTGCCTTTCTAAGGTAAATTTAGATGAAAGGTTCAGCAGGATGAAAATCCAGAATAATATCAGGCTCAAATGTATTTTGATATATTTCATCGCTAATTTTCCTCCAATTAGGTGGAAGCGGAAGATTTATTAACACTCTAGGGATCCACAGCAAATGAGGCTCTCTCTAAATATCGATTTTGTAATGATGAGCGAGTTTTTCCACATATTCCATATTGTAATCTGGACTATTAACAAATTGATTCATCCAGTGTCTAATCTTGTTAACTATAAGGCCAAATGTTTTTATATAGTAAGCTGTAGTTTCTAAAATCACCTCATCTTGAATTTAATCATTTGCTATCTCATATCCATTCTCTCTAAATCTATCTTTCTTATTAATTGACCTCAATCTCTATTTGGCATTTTTATCAAGTATTTTAATCTGAACCTAATCTGGATTCAATTTATTGGGTGGTCTCATTTCATTCATAGGGGTGCTAAATTTTCCATTTTTATTCTTTTTTGGCGAACTATCCTCTAGTGATCTTTTCTTAAATTTCTCTATCTATTTGATCCTTTCTTTCTATACTTCATATTTGTGCTTATCTTCCTCAGATAGTGCAAGAATTTCAAGATAATTGTTTGAATTAATCATTCCTTATATATCAATAGTCTTCTGACTAAATTAATCAATTCATTATTGTAAATATAGCTTACTTTTGATGCTGGGCAATTGTATTTTTCAGAATTTTTCTGTATTCAAGATGATTAGGATGCAGAGGTGTAGTAGTGTTTTCAATCCTATTATAAAATACGAGATTCCCCTCAAAATCTCTTTCTTTCTCTACTCCCGGGGGTAACTCAGAATTGATCATTAGGTCAATTACCCATCCATACCTTTGGTGATCTTTATCAGGATCAAATCCTATTTAATAACCAAGCTACTTTTTATCTTCCTCAGTTAATTTTATTTACAATGGCAAATTTGTTTTAGGAAGTTTTGTGATGATTTTTCTAACTGATTTCAAAGCTGACATTTATTCCTCAAATATTCTTCTTTATTTAAATCTGTGGAATTTAATTCTTTTATTTTGATTGATCATAGAATCAGGGGTTTTGGGGTTTTGGGG